CAAAAAAAAAAAAAAGAAATTCAAGCTAAATATGAGCCTCAATCCAAAGCTAAAAAGGCTAAAACCTTGGGACAAGGGGCATAGAATTATGACAGATGCCATAATTCTGGTAGGTGAGTATAACCCACATTATATCTTTTTTTTTCCACATTATATCTTTTCAGGGTTCTTAGACAGGTGCTCCATGCATTTTGTTCAGGATTTTTAGTTGCATTCAATGGGATATACAGGACAATGTGTTCTGATTCCATCTTTAACCATAATCGGAATTTCAAAAGGCATTTATTCTTAATTTTAATGAATGTTACCAGGTGGTTTTCAAAAAGACTAAACTAGTTATTCACCAGTGCTTTATGAGAATATCCTTGGCCGGGCTCGGTGGCTCAGCCTATAATCCCAGCACTTTGGGAGGCTGAGGCGAGTGGATTGCCTGAACCCGCGGATTCGAGACCCACCCGGGCAACTTGGCGAGATCTTGTCTCTCCAATAAATTAAAAAAAAATTAGCCGGGCATGGTAGCGCTCGCCTGTAGTTCCAGCTACTTGGAAGGCTGAGGCAGAAGGATTGTTGGAGCCCAGCAGGTTGAGGCTGTGGTGGCAGGGAGCAGCCAATGCACTCCTGTCTGGGCGACAGAGTGAGACTCCAACTCAAAAAAAAAAAAAAAGAGAGAATATTCTTTAATTCACAAGCCCACTATTAATTATAATTTTGGCAGTCTGATATGTATCAGGTGCCAACTCACTGTTATTCTATTTTGCATTTCCCTGTAGGGTAGTGCAACTGGACATTTTTTCATCATATTTTTGACCATTCAGATTTGTGTGTATATGTAAACACACACACATATGTATGTATGTATGCAACAGGCTGAATTATGCTCCCCCACCCCAAATTCATACCTTGAAGTCCTAACCTCCAGTACCTCAGAAGGTGACTGTATTTGGAGATAGAGACTAGCATCTTTATAAGAAGAGGAGATTAGGACACAAGTCAAGGAGAGAGGTCTCTATAGAAACTAATTCTGGTGTCGCCTTGATCTCAGACTTCCAGCCTCCAGAGTAGTGAGACAATAGATCTCTGTTGATTAAGCCACTCAGTCTGTGGCATTTCATTATGGCAACCCTAGAATATTAATACAATGTATGTATGTGTTTACATGATTATATAATCATGGAAAAAATATGTTTTTAAATGGGTTACCTGGGCATGGAATGGTTGGCAGAAAGACGTAATATAGAAGGAGATGGGAGCCGGGCTCGGTAGCTCAGCCTGTCATCCCAGCACTTTGGGAGGCCAAGGTGAGTGAATTGTCTGGTCCACGGGTTCTACACCCGCCTGGGCAACTTGGCAAGACCTCATCTCTACAGTAAATCAAAAATTAGCCCTGCGTGGTAGCGCGCGCCTGTAGTTCCAGCTACTTGGAAGGCTGAGGCGGAAGGGTCGCGGGAGCCCAGCAGGTCGAGGCTGCGGTGGCCAGGAGTGGCCACTGCACTCCAGTCTGGGTGACAGAGTGAGACTCCAACTCAAAAAAATAAAAATAAAAGAAGGGCCGGGCTCGGTGGCTCAGCCTGTAATCCCGTGCCTTTGGGAGGCTGAGGTGAGTGGACTGCCTGAGCCCACGGGTTCGAGACCCAGCTGGGCAGCCAGACCTCATCCCTACAATAAATCAAAAAATCAGCCGGGCGTGGTAGCACGCGCCTGTAATTCCGGCTACTCGGAAGGCTGAAGCGGAAGGATCGTCGGAGCCCAGCAGGTCGAGGTTGAGGTGGCGGGGAGCGGTCACTGCAGTCCAGTCTGGGCGACAGAGTGAGACTCCAACTTAAAAAAAAAAAAAAATTTTAAAAAATGAAATAAAAATAAAATAAAAGAAGGAGATGGGAAATAAAAAGGAAAAGGTAACCAAGTAAACGTGGAAAGGAAAAAAATGGTGACTATATTTTTAAAATATGAATCATATCATCACATTTATGTATTTGTAAAAATTAGCTACACAAATTTATAGGCAACTTAGTATATTTATATGCACATAGTGTATAATTCATTCATTATCTGAACATCAGTTTAGTGGCATCAATTTTCTCTTATCCAGTACCCATGGACTCAAGTGCTGCTTTACTCACTGTGCATGATATTGGAGGCTTGGAAGTCTGAATCTTGAGGTTGCACTCCAGCTGCATTGGGGAGGAAGTGCTGCATATTCTCTGTGAGGTACCAGCTTTGGTTCTCATCAAATACAGAAAACAGGATGACATTTCTCTTGTCTGACATCATCTATTAGTTACATGTATTGAAAGGGGGGAAAGAAATGCTGTGACACTGTTAGGTAAGAACGAGCAGTCTATGATGGATCAATGGCATGCATGTGGTATATCCAATCCTTGGATTCAATTTCATTTTCTCTTAGGATTACTAATATGCCATATAATATGGCCTGGGAGTGGAGGTGGGTGCTAGGAGTAGTGAGTATACGTTTAGAGCAAACATGTCCTCAGGGCAAAAGTTTCCTCTGGACCCAAGACCACATGCTGGCTGATTTTTTGGTACATTCTGTAGTCCCATTCTCTCCATGTTCAGATTAGAGAATTTTAACTCTCTAAAAAGCCAAGTGATTATTTAGTGTCTTTCTTAAACAAGTTAGTTAAGTCAAATAAGAGTGACTTTCATAAACTTTCGTCTATGCTATAATTAGGAAACATTTGTCAGGACAGGTAATTAGCCAAATGTATACTCCTTTGGGTTTATATGCCACATGTTTTATCTGCAATAAAGTTCATGTGCTTTGCTCTCTAAACCAGTGAAATGTTTTCAGACTAGCAGGAATCTGAAGTATCATAAATAACCAATTGGATATGTAGTCAAGCCTCAGCAATATGGCAGAAAATTATTCTAGAGTCAAGCAATGAGTTTTAGTGAAGGACTAGGCTTTTCTTGTTCAGAGAATTCAGCTTTATTTTTTAAAGCAGCAAAAGTGGTCCAAATTCTAAGCATATTCTGAAATATGTTATGCCTTTCCTTGTATTTTGTTCAACAAATATTTATTGAGCTCTTACGAAATGCCATACACTCTGCTACATGCTGAAGACATGTTTAATTTTGAGGTGATTTTGAGTTACCCATAATGAGATGTCTAGGGGAGAAGTTTGAGCTGTCGATATAAATTTTGGGCTCATCTGAAAATAGGTGGTAACTGAACATGTAAAAATGTGCAAGATCACCTAGAAAGAGCCAAATCCCAGACTGGGAATGAGTATAATAGAACGAATCTAGGGCCTAGATTCCTTGGCCTATCCATTTAGCAGGCAAGTTTATTACACCAAACTCAAATTCAGTAAAAGCTTATTGGCTTGCATTGCAGACCACTATACATATTTTCTGCAGGCTATAAGGTGACATACACTGAGAGTTTACATGCATCTCATCCCATTTTTAGCTTTAAACCCAGTACTTGGAAAGGCAAGAGCTCACCTGATTTCCTCTTTGGTCTACAGATTCTTTGTAGCAGATGAGGAGAGGGCCAATGAGTCCTGAAGCTAGATCTCTCTCCAGATTAATGAAACTAGAGTAATATCGGGCCAGGCACCGAGGATCTGATTTAGTTGGCCCATCTTCTAGAGTTATTATCCATTTATACTTGAATATTTCTCCTGGCAGAATTGGAAAATCCTTCAAATGTTTCACACCTACCCACACCCAAACCCAGAAATTGCTTGATTAGAGTATAACAAGCCACATACTGGTCATCACATTGCTATTCCAAGAGTTCTACACACCTACGTGTACATATGAAGTTTCTTAATAAATGGAAGCTAAAGTTGTACCTAGTATAAGTTTGAGATTTACACAGCATTTTTACAGTAAAAATAGATAGTTTATTTTATAGTTCATTGTGAAAGTTAAAGGCCTGAATAAATGCCAAAGACTCTGTGAGGAAAGGGAACAAGAACTAAGATACGCTTTCGGACTAATGAGTCATAAGAACAAGAACTGATTTTAGTCATTAAGCATCATTTTTTGGTATACTTACTGCCTGAAGATGCAATCTAAATTAAAATTTTAATGTTATATCCATTTTGAGCTGTCCGTTACCCCGTTAAGTAACGCCTGACCTATGGCTAGGGAACCTATAGAAAGGGAATGGTGTAGTATGTTCTTCCATTATCTCTCGGTCTTCTTCTCTTCCTTCTTTCAGGGGTGAAGGCACGTAGGTATTAGAGGAAAGGGCAAATAGATTTTTGTTTAAGAGGTTCTGCTGTTTGAATGCTCTATCTTTGACAACACTGTTTGGTCACCAATGCTTTCTGTGAGGCAGGTGCCCAAATGCTGGTCTTTTCACAGGACACATGTATGGTTTCTTTGAAGTTACTATAGAGACCTCAGCACTGCATAGTTCCATGACTTGAGAGCTGCTTCCTTCAACTACCTTTTCACAACCCTCCTCTCCCCATCAACTCATTACCTCTAGTGATATATCCAGGGTTCTGGTATCCCTCAGCATGCCAAGCTGCCTTATTGGGCAAGGTATCTTCAAAAGAGATAAAGCCCAGCTACTTTCAACAGTATCCATTTGTTACAAAGGAAACATGTCAAACAGCGTGAGGGCAAATAGTTCCACTATTCACCTCTTTTCTTGCCCGCTATTATAGGCAGTACAGCTTTCGGAATTCTCCATGTGAAAAACAGGATACCAGTAACTGTATTCATGTATGCCTCCAAAGTTCAGGGTACACATTTAAAATGTCCCCAGAACTCTGTCACTATGCCCTTCTCCCAGAAAGGAACGCAAATCAAACTGGCATTAGAATTCTCCTTGGTAACATTGAATATTAGAAAAGAGTGGATGGAAAATTATTTATAACCAACCGATCTGTGTGGCATGTGATACTGAAGGAATCAGAAAGTGTATTAGAAGTTACTTGAGGATATGCTTCCAGAAAAACAATATAAGAAATTTTTGAGATGTACGTAAGAAAAATTAGAGCCATTAACTATTAATACGAGAACATCTTATTTTTTTTTTTGAGTTGGAGTCTCACTCTGTCGCCCAGACTGGAGTGCAGTGGCCGCTCCCGGCCACCGCGGCCTCCACCTGCTGGGCCCCGGCGATCCTTCTGCCTCAGCCTTCCGAGTAGCCAGAATTACAGGCATGCGCTACCACGCCCGGCTGATTTTTTGATTTCTTGTAGAGATGAGGTCTCGCTGCCCAGGTGGGTCTCGAACCCACGGGCTCAGGCCATCCACTCACCTCAGCCTCCCAAAGGCGCGGGACTACAGGCTGAGCCATCGAGCCCGGCTAAGAACATCTTTAAGAAGAAAAATATTTGGATATCAAGCATTGAATGAAATGATTAAGAAGTTGAAAGGCCTAAGAGATATGATGAAGAAGCATACATTTCTTTTCCTAGTAAAAAAGAAAGTCTTACTTGAGGATACAAACACAAAAATTATAAGATCAGTATGGTCCTGAGGAAATAAAAATTTAGCATGATTTCGAGCTACTGATAGGGAATAAATAAGAATAATCTATTTGAGATTCTTATTATATTTTTTGTCACATAAGTATACATATTTATGAGATACAGGGTGATATTTCAATACATGCATACATGTGCAACGATCAAACCATGGAATTAGTATATATCCATTGCCTCGAACATTTATCATTTCTTTATGTCGAGAACATTCAAAATCCTTTCTACTAGCTAATTGAAAATATAGAATAAAGCATTGTTAACTATAGTCACCCTACAACAGTATAAAACACTAGGACTTATTCCTCCAATCTAGCTGTGATTTGGATCCATAACCAATCTCTCCCCATTTTCCCCCTCCGTCCTCCTTAGCATCTACTAACCACAGTTCTACTCTTTACTTCTATGAGATCAATGTTTTTAGCTTCTTAATAGTAAAATCATTGGAACTGCAGACAAGAGACCCATCATAGCATATTACCCAGTTCTATAGTAAATGTTTATACAAACAAACCCAATGAATGAAAATAAATGCTGCTTTTTTTATTTTTAAATGTTAGAATACATATAAGAATAAAGCAAGAAAAAGTTATTTTATTTTATTTTTATTTTTTTTTTGAGTCTGAGTCTCATTCTGTTGCCCAGGCTGGAGTGCAGAGGCACACTCACGGCCACCGCAGCCTCGACCTGCTGGGCTCCGGCGATCCTTCCGCCTCGACCTTCCAAGTAGTTGGAACCACAGGTGCACACTACCATGCCTGGGTAATTTTTGATTTATTGTAGAGACGAGGTCTCGCCAAATTGCCTGGGCTGGTCTTGAACTCGCCAAATTGCCTGGCTGATTTTTTAATTTATTGTAGAGATGAGGTCTTGTGAAGTTGCCCAGGCTGGTCTCAAACCCGTGAGTGCAGGCAATACTCTCGCCTCGGCCTCTCAGAGTGCTGGGATTACTGGCATGAGCCACTGGGCCCAGCCGTAAGAGTTATTTTAAATTACAGTACAAAATGTGAATGTTATCAGCTTTAGTTTTATAAAAGTAAAGAAAGGGTTGGCAGCAGTTGAGAAAAGGAAGGGTAGAGGAGAGGAACGAGGGGAGGGCACAGTTGCTAATGCCCTTAACTTACAAAGTATGGAGTCAAGAGACATTATCCAACCGTGAAGATATTAACAAGTAGATGCTGGCCAGGCGTGGTGGCTCATGCCCGTAATCCCAGCACTTTGGGAGGCCAAGGTGAGAGGACTGCCTGAGCCCACAAGTTTGAGACCAGCCTGGGCAACTTCACAAGACCTCATCTCTACAATAAATTAAAAAATCAGCCAGGCATAGTGGCACATGCCTGTGGTTCCAGCTACTAGGAAGGCTGAGGCAGAAGGATCGCCTGAGCCCAGCAGGTCGAGGCTGTGGTGGCTGTGAGCGTGCCACCGCACTCCAGCTGGGCGCTGGAGTGAGACTTCAACTCAAAAAAAAAAAAAGTAGATGCTTAGTATATTTTTAATGTTTTAATGATAGCCGATTGAAGTACTGAAAACACTGATAAAACTCTGAAACAACTGGAGTAGAAAGAAGCCCAATGCTAAATCCTCACATAACACAAAATAAATATATAATGTCTAAAATTGAGAAACAAAGAATTAACAGTATAAATAATCTTTAGAGATAACCATGAAAAATCTAAACCAAAAATGCTTAAATATGGATGCCTCTAGGGAGTGGGACTTACAGCCCTCTGTAGCTTTAAGCATACACATCTATTATTTTGATAAATATTCCTTAAAAATTAAAGACTAAAAGGAATATATATATATGTATCCAATCCATTAACATAAAAGCATATAACAAGTGAAAATACAAAATAGCCGGGCTCGGTGGCTCAGCCTGTAATCCCGCGCCTTTGGGAGGCTGAGGTGAGTGGACTGCCTGAGCCCGCGGGTTCGAGACCCGCCTGGGCAGCGAGACCTCATCTCTACAATAAATCAAAAAATCAGCCAGGTGTGGTAGCGCATGCCTGTAATTCCGGCTACTCGGAAGGCTGAGGCAGAAGAATCGCCGGAGCCCGGCAGGTCGAGGCTGCGGTGGCCGGGAGCGGCCGCTGCACTCCAGTCTGGGCGACAGAGTGAGACTCCGACTCAAAAAAAATAAAAATAAAATAAAAATACAAAATAAAAAAAGAAAATACAAAATAAATAAAATGATAAAATAATTGTAATTAAAGTATAAAATTACCAGAATTCATGCAAATATATCCATAGTCACACAAATATGATTAGGCTAAAATCCCCTAACGAAGAATGGAGATTGGGTACAAAAATAAAACCTATATATATGTTCTTTACACGGGTCAAGCCTAACCAAAAATAAACAAAGCAAGGAAAGCATATCAGGCGACTCTTCACTAACTTACATGAGACATCACCTAAGGATTTCTAGAATCGATTTGCTTAACTGTGTTTTGCGTTGAGGGTCTCACTCTGTCGCCCAGGCTGGAGTGCAGTGGCACACTCACGGCCACCCCAGCGTCGACCTGCTGAGCCCCGGCGAGCCTTCTGCCTCAGTCTCCTGAGTAGCTGGGACTACAGGTGTGTAAGACGAGGAATCACTATGTTGCCTAGCTTGACCTCGAACTCCTAGGCCCAAGTAATCCTCCCTCCTTGGCCTCCCAGAGTGCTGGGATTACAGGTTTAAGCCACAGCGCCTGGCCTGATATGTATAACTTTAGACTGGGGCTTGAGGTCCTGTGTCAACAGCTGGGGAAAGGATCGACATAATTTTAGTTGTAATTGATGCAGTGACTTTATCTGTATCTATAGGTAAGAAAGACCCATAAATTGAGATAATACTTACCTTTCGGCATTCTCCCTGAGTGCAAAGGACTGACATCAGTGATTCCATGAGGGTAGATGTTATATGGTCGGCTTGCTTGATTCTTAAATATAATCTGAAAGCACAAATGAAATATAAGATTAAACAATTAGGGTCAATAAGAAAACTGTGGGCTAACTCCAAAAATAGAAATTCATCCTGTATCCACATTATACGGATTTGAACTTAGAAAGTGCTCAAAATATTTGGTCTTTTTATTAAATTGCTCTGCTACAGTTGTCACTTGGTATGTGTGGGGATAGCTTCCAGGACCCTATGGATACCAAAATCTGTGGTACCCAAGTCCCTTACATAAAATGATGTCGTATTTGCATACAACTTATGTACATCTTCCCATATACTTTAAATCATTGCTCTTGGAAGACTGAGGTGGAAGGATCGCCGGAGCCCAGCAGGGCGAGGCTGCGGTGGCCTGGGGCAACGGAGTGAGACTGTAACTCAAAAAAAATTAAAAATTAAAAATAAATCATTGCCAGATTGCTTATAGTACATAATACAATATAAATGCTATGCAAATAGTTGTTATACTGTATTATTTATTTGCATTATTGTTTATTATTGTATTATTATTTTTTATTGTTGCGGAGTTTTTTGGGAATACCTTCAATCCATGGGTGTCTGAATCTGAGGATAGGAATTCATTGCTACTGAGAAATAAAAATAAAATCTTAAGCCTCCCCAACCAACTGAATGGACCTCATCTTGGCCAAGGGGGCCCCAGAAAAACCTTAAAACTGAATTCCTGGCCAGGACAGGATGGGAGATCTGACACATGTCATTATGCCCCCTCCCTTACTAACTGCCATTAGACTTCCTTTCTTAAGGGTTAAACAGAAACCAGTCCTATTGAAAGACTTGCTGGCCAGGCCATGTTTTCTTAAGCTTTGGCCCCCTCCCCTACCTCTCTCTCTCTCCCCCCCTTTATAATTTAGTTTTTAAATAAACTATATTTTCTAATCTTAAAAAAAAGACTTGCCTTTTGGTGGTGAGGCCATACTTCCCCTCCTGCAGGCCAGAAGTCTGCCACCCTTATAAGAAATAAAGCTCTAATCTCCAAATGTATGAATCTCCTGATTCTTCAGCTGACAATATGGAGAGCTAGCTGACTTACATTTCTTGCTAGAGGCCCCTTTCCATTTCTTTAAAAATTATTTCAATTGCTTCAGGAAGTATTCCCTGAACCTTCTCATACTAATTGAAATTTGGATGTCTGCAGAGGACATTGCTTCCCCTCAGTCCTTTCCATCATTTGGGCACTAAATTCCCGGACAGGAGAGAGGGAGACAGTGTTCTGGGGATAAAATGTTCACTGAATGAGCCAACATGACCAAGAGGACAGTTGATTATGGCATTAAGCAAGAATGGCAGGCGGTATCATCTGATTGCATAGGCTTTAAAAGAAAGAAAGGAAAGAAAAGAAATAACATGGAAGCAGCAGTGAAGGACCCTGGAGACATTCATCTTGCCTCTCGCTCTGAGGTTGTGCGATCCGAAGAGAAAAATGCAACTTCCACTTGCGCTCTTGTCTTAAAACCCAGTCATTTGGTCAACTCACTAATAATCCTTTCCAATATGAAATTTCCTGTTTCTCCTAAGGACACCGACTAGGATTTCCAATAAAATATTAAACAGAGGTGGTGATATCTATCCACTGTGTCTTGTCCTGATAGATGGGTGGATTTCTGAATTTCATCATCAAGTATGACAGTTACTGTAAATTTTTTGCAGATCTTTTTCAGGATAATGATGATGATTTCCTTGTAATCACAATTTCCTGTGACTTTTTATTATGAATGGATGTTGAATTTTGACAAATGTTTTTTCTGAAGTTATTGACATTATCAAATGATATTTTCCCTTTTATGTGCTAATATAGTGGATTACCACATTTGATTTTCTTTTTTCTTTTTTTGAGTCAGAGTCTCACTCTGTCGCCCAGACTGGAGTGCAGTGGCCGCTCCCGGCCACCGCAGCCTCGACCTGCTGGGCTCCGGCGATCCTTCCGCCTCAGCCTTCCGAGTAGCCGGAATGACAGGCACGCGCTACCACGCCCGGCTGATTTTTTGATTTCTTGTAGAGATGAGGTCTCGCTGCCCAGGCGGGTCTCGAACCCGCGGGCTCAGGCAATCCACTCACCTCGGCCTCCCAAAGGCGTGGGATTACAGGCTGAGCCACCGAGCCCGGCTAAATTATTTATTTCTTAAATATTAATATAAATTGCCAACAAAGTAGCAATTCCTGCTAGGCTGATAGTACTAGTCTTCAAGTCATGATCACTCAGGTGCCAGACATATGAGTGAAGCTGTCTTGGTCCCTCTAGACCAACACCAAGTGACCTTAGTCAATGCCAAAGAGGTAAAGAACTGCCCAAGTGAGCCCTGCCTGATCTTCTGACACACAATGTATGAGACAAATGAAACAGCTGTCATTTCAACGACTAAGTTTAGAGGTAACGAGTGCACAGCATTAGTAACCATAATAGCTTATCATCATTCCTTTAAATATAACCTGGTTTTGTCTGATTGTTTTTGTCCATTTAAAAACGTGTTTACTGAGGGATAATTTTTTTTTTGAGTTGGAGTCTCACTCTGTCACCCAGGCTGGAGGGCAGTGGCATGCTCCTGGCCACCGCAGCCTCGACCTTCCAAGTAGCTGGAACTACCACCACACTCAGTTAACTTTTTGTGATTTATTGTAGAGACGAGGTCTCAACAAGTTGTCCAGGCTGGTCTCAAACCCCTGGGCTTAGGCAATCCTCTCGCCTCAGCCCCCAAAGTGCTGGGATTATAGACTGAGCCAGTATGCCCGGCGAAGGGATAATTTATAAACCATAAAATTTACCCATTATAGCCGGGCTCGGTGGCTCAGTCTGTAATCCCGCGCCTTTGGGAGGCTGAGGTGAGTGGATTGCCTGAGCCCCCGGGTTCGAGACCCGCCTGGGCAGGCGACACCTCATCTCTACAATAAATCAAAAAATTAGCCGGCCGTGGTAGCGTGCGCCTATAGTTCCAGCTACTTGGAAGGCTGAGGCGGAAGGATCGCCGGAGCCCAGCAGGTCGAGGCTGCGGTGGCTGGGAACCGCCACTGAACTCCAGTCTGGGTGACAGAGTGAGACTCCAACTCAAAAAAAAAAATTTACCCATTATAAGTGTACATTGGTTTTTAGTAAATATGTAGAGTTATGCAATCATTAACACAATCCAGTATTAGAATATTTTCATCACTCCAAAAAGACTCTTCATTCTGGGTTTCAGGTAATCTCTGCTCCCCACCTAGCCCCTGGCAATTGCTAAAGGTATTTCTTCTTTATACATTGGCCTTTTCTGGATGTTTTACATAAGCTAAATCATGCAGTATGTAAGTTTTTTCCCCAACTTCTTTAACATAGCATAATGTTTGTAGTTTCACCCACATTTTTCTTGTATGAGTAGTTCTTTTCTTTAAATGGCTGAATAAGCCGGGCTTGGTGGCTCAGCCTGTAATCCCGTGCCTTTGGGAGGCGGAGGTGAGTGGATGGCCTGAGCCCGCGGCTTCGAGACCCGCCTGGGCAACTTGGCGAGACCTCATCTCCACAATAAATCAAAAATTAGCCGGGCATGGTAGCGCGCGCCTGTAGTTCCAGCTACTTGGAAGGCTGAGGCGGAAGGATCGCCGGAGCCCAGCAGGTCGAGGCTGCAGTGGCCGGGAGCGGCCTCTGAGCGACAGAGTGAGACTCTAACTCAAAAAAAGAAGTTAAAGCATGTGACAAAGTGAGAAAATACTTGAAATATAAACAATATGTCAAAATCCATAATGCATAAGCAAAAGATGATCACCCAAATAGAAAACTGGACAAAATTTACAAGCAGGAAATTCACAGAGGGAGTTAATACAAATAGATAACAAACATGAAAAATATACTATTTCACTACTAACCATGGAAACAAAAATGAAGACAACATATAAATATTTTTCTCATCACATAAAAATAGTCAGTGTTCATTTGTGTAATATTTATAATTTTTAAAAGAGCGTGTCCATTGGAGACAAGGCTGATTTGTGAAGTAACTGATACACTCAAAACCCTCCAGCCCTCTTCTTCTTACCAGACCTTAAATCTTTTTCTCAACTTACCAACAGTGTGTCTCCAACTTCCCCATAAAGTAAAGGTCCCAAGATTCCTGATTCATGCTGTATGGCTTCACGAGTCTTAAAGGTCTCATCTGTGTATGCCACAAATCGGACTTTTTTGTACTTCCTACCGATCCGCTGAGGCCCATTCTTCAAATACTGACTTTTATAACTTCTATTTGAAAGACAAAAAGATGCTAACTTAGAGTGGAAAATTCTAGGTATGCTCAAATTCAACTCTAAAACAGCTGATACGATTTAATCAAGGCAAGGGGTGAAAAAAAAGGAAGCATCTCTACGTTAGTCTCCAAACAGGTGAATGTCATTGCCATTTGATTCCATACCTGTATCTGACCCTAAACGTGGCTTAAGGATTTGTTGCTTCGAATAACCTGTAAGAACGCTTTGAGTACGGAGAAGGCAGGGTACCAGGAGTCAAAAGGTGCAGACCTGTCATCAGGGGTGAGGACCGACGGGGCGTAGTCCCAGAACTCCTCTTCCGCAGCAATGTAATGTATCCAAGTTTTCGGGTGCTTTTTGGCGACTGAGCGAATTTGGATAAGGGATGCAGAGTTGTCATCATCAAATCTGAGCACATCCATTTCAGAATCATGGAGATCATTATCGTAATCCTCCTCTTCTTCATCATTTTTCATCCGTACTTGGGGTTCCTCTGGGCAGCTGTCTACTTTGACATAAGCTTCCATGCCATCTGCAGTCAGACAAGCCAAACAATACCAGACTCTTACAAGACTGTCACTTAACTTTGATGACTTCTTTCCCTCTTATTATGTTTCCTAAGAAACGCCCCCCTTCTCCAGACCAATATCCCTTTTGCCACTCTTCTATATGGATTATGGTACTTGCTGGTTTCTTCCTTTGGTCTTTGCACTCCCCATTTCCCTTCTGCTTGACTCTCCCCCATATATGCTTTATCTCTTTTTCAAAACTCACTCATTTGCTCTTATTTCCCTTCTGGAACTGGCTTTGAGCCTATCACACCCCCATAGTCAAGTTATAAACAAGGAGACTTGAAGAACTGCATATTTTCAGCATTTGGAAGCCTAAGCCAGACCAGCTCTCCATTGAATTATAATACAAGTCATTGATTTAACAACAGTTTATCAGGAAAAATGTTAGTGCAGATATAAATTTCAAGACACATTTCAAATTCATAAAAACATGAAAAGAGACCGGGTGCAGTGGCTCACACCTGTAATCCCAGCAGTTTTGGAGGTGGAGGATTGCCTGAGCCTGCGGGTTTGAAACCAGCCTGGGCGACATGACGAGACCGCGTCTCTACAATAAACCAAAAAATTAGCTGGGTATAGTGGTGCACGCCTGTAGTTCCAGCCACTTGGAAGGCTGAGGTGGAAGGATCATGTGAGCCCAGAAGGTCGAGGCTGTGGTGGCCGTGAGCAGTGTGCCACTACATTCCAGTCTGGGCGACAAAGTGAGACTCCAATTCAAAAAAAAAAAACATTAAAAGACACAACTTAAAATCAAGGAGATATGTATTTTAAGAGCATGTTTGCCTGTGACTAGTTGTAAACTCTATGACACATCTATTCAATGTTTTCAGTCTCATCTTTGTGTTTTATAAAATATGGATAATAATAATCCCTGCCCGGCCAGGCATGGTGGCTCAAGCCTATAATCCCAGCACTTTGGGAGGCCGAGGTGAGAGGATTGCCTGAGCCCGTGTGTTCAAGACCAGCCTCTACAGTAAATAAAAAAATTAGTCCAGCGTGGTGGCGCACACCTGTAGTCCCGCAACGTGGAAGGCTGAGGCACAAGGATCGCCTGAGCCCAGCAGGTCGAGGCTGTGGTGGTCGGGAGCGTGGCACTGCACGAAGTGAGACTGTAACTCAAAAAATAAAAACAATCCCTGCGCTATTTATACTGTAGGGATATTTCGTTTTGAGTCAGGGTCACACTTTGTCACCCAGAATACAGTGTAGTGGCACGTTTACGGTTCACCACAGCCTGAAACTCCTGGGCTCCAGCAATTCTTCCTTCTTTGCCTCCCAAGTACCTGGGACTATAGGCACATGCCACTATGCTCAGGTAATCTTTTGATTTTTTTTTTTTTTTTTTTGCAGAGACAAGGCCTCGCTATATTGCCCAGGCTGTTCTCGAACTCCTAGGCTCAAACAATCTTCCCACCTTGGCCTCCTAAAGTGCTGAGATTACAGGTGTGAGCCACCATGTCCACCCAGGGTTATTTTGAAGATCAAAAACTTCTAAGGAGGGCAATCTGCTTAGTGGATTATGGGGAACAAGGTAGCTTTCAAGAGCAGCACACAAGTAGTCTGGGGCTCATGAGGCATAAACATAATTCAGTCTCCATCTAAAAATGAAGGGTTTTGTCCAAACTCCAATAAGATAAAAGATAAAGCATTTTTCTGAAAAAATTAGGATCAAATTAGTGAATAGAAGCTGTGAAAAGGATAAAACAGAAAAGAAACTCCTCTTAAACTGAATCAGGCTCAAACTAGACAATGATTAATTTGTTACAAGTAAATGACCTATTCTTCTGTGCCTGCAGGATTTTCTTTGTGAATCAGCTTCCTGTTACTCACTTGGTATGACACTTTTTGTGCCTTAACGTCCTGTCAAGATCCCATAAATGTTATGTAACAGATGGCAAAAAGAGGTTTCTGTTCTTAATCACTACAGGGGACTATTTGTTTTCCAGCAGCCTCTGCCAAGGTTTGAATGTTTGTTCCTTCCATAACTCGTGTTGAATTTAATTGCCATCGTGATTAAATTTAACATTGAAAAGATGTTTAGAGCCGGGCACAGTGGCTCATGCCTGCAATCCCAGCACTTTGGGAGGCGGAGGCAAGAGGATTGCCTGAGCCCATGGGTTCGAGGCCCACCTGGGCAACTTGGCGAGACCTCATCTCTATAATAAATCAAAAAAATTAGCCCGGCGTGGTAGCGCACGCTTGTAGTTCCAGCTACTCGGAAGGCTGAGGCAGAAGGGTCGCCGGAGCCCAGCAGGCGAGGCTGCGGTGGCCGGGAGCAGCCACTGCACTCCAGTCTGGGCGACAGAGTGAGACTCCAACTCAAAAAAAAAAAATTTGAAACTGTAGGTCCCACTTCCTAACCTGCTGTGGACCTTTTGCAAAGCCCCCATCAAGCAGTCCTTGAAAACCTCATGTGATGCCTCACATACACTGACCAGCTTCCACTCCCATGTGGCTTCTCCTAGAATTCACTAGCTCCTGACATGCCCTGAGTTTCCCAAGTGTCTCCTGCCTACTGTCAGGTATCTACAGAGTGCTTCCAGCTGTCTGGTGTCTCATGTTGAGTATACTACAATATCCTCTCACGGTTGCCATTTACTGCTCTAGGTTTACTGATATGTTGGAGCCCTTATGGTTGCAACCTGGGCAGTGATCTTTTTGTATTTCCCTAGATTTCTTATAAAACATCTCTTCAGCTACAGCCTGCAGCTCCTCTCTCCACATGATTGATGGGATTAGGCTGGGAAACAAACGACATATGGTTCTCCTCATTCTTCCCACGTCACTCATTCCTAAACCACTTCTCTTCCTATCACAGGCATTCAACTAAAAATTCACCAGTACTGCTAATACTCAAGCCTTCTTATACTCAAGATAAAATCTTTACTCTGAAAGCTAGCAACTAGGGGATCTCGGTTTAGATCTAACACAGTGACTATATAATGCCACCTTCTGCAACACACTGTACACTGTCCAGTCAATTCTGTTGAAAGTAGAATAATTTTTACAATACTCATTTGTAATATCCAAGATATTACCATGTTGGTGGGAAGAAATATGACAAAACAGTAGAAACTGTCCAAGGTCCATCAGGAGTGTCTGAGCAGTAAGGAAAGTTATTGGTGAGATCTCCAAGGAGGCCTGGCGATGGTTCCTCACAAGAAATGTGTGACCTTCGAGGAATATTGAGTGCACTTCAGGAGTGGTGCCCATACCAATCACATGCCAATGGACTGATTTCCTGTGGCATCCAATCAGGCCTGTAAAGTAGGAATAACACAGCTATGGATAAGAAGTAGAGAATTTGAAATGGAAAACACTTGCTAACACAGGATGGATAGGTTGACCTTACACATTTTTTTGCTGCCTTGTATTGAAGACAAACTTACCAAGGACTTTTAGGATTATCAGACCAACAGTTCTTGCCAAGGTCACCGAACACCATCATGCTGCTAAGTTCAATGGACATTTTTCAGTCTTCATCTGTACCTGTTGACCATTTATTTCTTCTTGAAACTACAGACTGGTTTATATGACTTGGTGCCCTGATGTTGGTTTATATAGCTGTTGGTGCCCTGATATGTATATTTGTATATTTGTGTGTGTGTGTATATACATATATATATACATATGTATGTCTATATATGTTCAGAATTGTTATATCCTCTTGTTGAATTGATTTCTTTATGATTGCATACTGAACTTTATCTATTTTACTTACGAGTTTTTCACTTAAAGTCTATTTTGTCTCATGTAAGTACAGCTACTCCTGTTTGATTTTTGTTTCCATTTATATAGAATATCTTTTTTCCATTCCTTTTCTTTCAGTCTATATGGGTCTCAATAGGTGAGGTAAGTTTCTTTTAGGCAGCATATAGTTGGGTCTTTTTAAAAAATCAGTTCAGTCAGTCTATATCTCTTTTTTTTTGGATTGAAAATACCAGAGCAAGCCAGGCTTGGTGGCTCAGCCTGTAATCCCGCGCCTTGGGAGGCTGAGGTGAGTGGATTGCCTGAGCC